GAAGATAGGCTGAGGAAATGATTACTCTGGCCCCTGTGCATGCCTTAAGATTTAGAAAGGCTGTAACCAGGTCGTCAATGCAATACGTTGGAACAGCTAAAAGTTCAATATTTTTATTGTAGATTATACAAGCTCTTTGTCTACTGCTTTTAGTAGTGACTAAGATCTTACCGGCAGCCGACAATACCAAAACTTGATCTTTGGCCACCCAAGGCTTTTGTATAAGGGCGAGGCCGATGTTGTCCTCTGCGAAGCAGACTTCTAATACGGCAGAAGCAGCTGCTGCATGGTGAAGATTTGCCTAAAGGACGCCTTTAGGCAAAACGGATTTTGCCTAAACGTCTTACACTTGGGTTTAGCCATTTATAGGTGTAGAGGGGTGGGGGGGAGTCCTTATCGCTAGCTTAGGACGAAGATGTCCTTTACTGGCGCTCTTGACCCCCGCCGTACCTTTTGGTCTACCGCTCCCAACTCCCTTCCCCTTACCCTTGGCCTACAACACCGGAGGCGCTCGGAACGAAGCGAGATCAGCACCTTGGGTCTCATTCACTCTCGCTGAAGACGTTTCAGTCTCATCCCTCGAAGTGGAAGGCTGGGGGATTGGATTTGGAGCAGAAATATAGGTTGATATAGAATCGTTACAACAACGTGTGTAGAAATGCACAACGATGCCATATTTACCAATCGGTTCGTGACCCTGACCCTGCTAGGGTCTGGAAATTTCTTAAGTCATTAGAAGTTGGGTAGAGGAGTGAAATCCTAACACACCATAATGTTGACCTCAATCAGCTTAATCAACATTTCTCCTCTACGTCTTGTATTGGAAGCAAAGCAAAATACTTTGAATGTCATCTCTAATTCCGGACTCTTCTGTTTTTATTTTAGTCAATTTGACAGTTTTGATGTTGAGAGTGTCATTCTTTCCATCTATTCGAATTTGGTAGGTGGTGACTATATTATTCGTAAAATGATCATTCATCTCCTGGATCTTCTTATCCCTGTAATTACTTCCATCTTAAACGATTCCGTAAACTGCTTCTTTTCCCTCTTCTTGTAAAGAAGCCAACGCGATTCCCCTTCCTAAAAGCAATCCAAAATGTTTTTCTGATTACCGGCCAATTTCTTCACTTCCTTTCCTATCTAAAGTGGTAGAACGTCTGGTGTACAAGCAACTAAGCTCTTATCTACAAGAACATAACCTCCTTAATCCCTTGCAATCCGGTTTCAACCATGGTCATAGTATGACAACAGCACTTTTACAAATTACTGATGACATTAGTCATAATATGGAAAATCAAAAATTGACAGTACTAACTTTATTAGATTACAGCAAGGCATTTAATTCGGTCGATTTTGATATCTTATTAAGTATATTGCGCTCTCTCAACATATCTCCGGCTGTAGTTGACTGGTTTCGTAGTTACTTGTTTGGGCGCCGACAGTGTATTCAAGTACAGTTTGTGTATTCCTCTTGGAATGCTACTGTTGCCGGCGTTCCACAAGGTGGCGTGTTGTCTCCTCTCTTGTTTGCAATTTCTATAAATTCTATAAGTAATCAACTGTCTTCTTCTTACCACTTGTACGCCAACGATCTCCAAATTTACACTCAATTCACTCGGGGTGATTTATTTTGGTTGGTTGTCCCTTTTTCCTTCAGAAATTTACTCAAAACTTATTACTTGAAACTCTAATATTTCCCATCATAATTCCCGGCAACAAAATTGCCGAAAAACTCGCACGGTAGGGCTTAAAGCGTACACAATTTGAACCCAAGCCATTTTGTGGAATATCAAAAAGCCTCGTCCGATTGACCCCGGAAACTTTTACCACAATAAATCACTTATAATATGGTCTGATACACCAGGTTTCCGGGCTTTCGACCATAAATTCGCTTCAGAAACCCTGGAATTAGGTAAAAATAAATTGCGCATTCTGGTAAGAGCACTGTTATCTTAAAAAGCATATGTCCATCCTGGGACCAAGCAATTCAAGGATGTGCCTGTTTTGCTCCTTAGAGGCGGAAACGCTTTTACACATGATACAGGGTTATTTTTCAAAGAATAGCCAAATTTTAAACTTAAGTTCAAATTTATAAATAATGATATACCGTTATTGCAGTTTTTGAAAATAGGGGTAAATAAGGCTTTCATTTGAAACTGGCTGGTCCCTGCGACTACGTCCACGTGAAATTTACTATTAAAAACTTCATTTCATAGGTTTTGATTTTTTTGCGACCTAATTGTGACAGTATATTCTATATAAGTTCTATATTAAGTAGTTCGCGATAGGACTGTTCGCGCCACTTTGCAACTACCACCTAACGTTTATGAAATTATTTAACTGTTAACCAATGAGAGTACTGCAAAACCCATTTCCGGGATTCCTATCTAAAGCCTTAATGTCTAGCACGTGCACTTTTGTGTTTAATGGGGCGCTCACAAGCTCGCAAGACACGCAAACAACCGCATCGCCTATATCTCGCGTAATCACTCACTTTTTTGTGTGATTTAGATACTGAAATAAACAAGAACATAATAAAGAATATAGACATTTGCTATAAAGCCATATTTTGCGATAATCTGTGAAGTTTATATGTGTGAAGACAGCTGGCAACCAACCAACGTGGCCGTGGCCCTTGGTGACACAAGGCAGATTAGGAGAAGTCCAGGTGAGTGCACATGTATTCCTTCACATCCTTCCTGTAGCCTGAATTTAGGGACATTTGCAGGATCGCGAAATAGTAAATTCTCACCACCTCACACAGTCCATAATTTAAATAAAATCATCTTTTTAATAACTCTGAACAAGCATTTGTTCATTTAAACCGACAAACCATTTTACCATCATTATGGTAATCCGCACGCACCAGTAATTGGATAATTTAACTAATCAGACCCACCAGCTGGTCACGCCAGCCAGGATAGTTAATACTATCTAGCAAGAACGCAGAAAAACAAGATACTTCTTTATACACAACACAACACATACACTCACGCCTGTCACCCAGAGGGAGAGCAGGTAGGCAGAGACTACGAACTTCCATTTGGCGCGATCCTGACACATCTCTCTCGCCTCCTTTACATCCATATATCTACGCATACACGCTCGTTGGTTAAGGGTACTCCTAATCTGGCCCATTTTAAATGTATTGCCGATTTGGTCGATAAATCTTTGTCTAGGGTGTCCCTTCCCGACTCTGCCGTTCACTTCTGAAACATAAATTTGTTTGTCACTGTCACGCAAACCATATTTTTCTCTAATCACACTATTTCTCACCCTGTCATTCAAATCAAGCCCTAGCATATATCTTAATGACCGCATTTCTACAGCATTTATTCTACTCTTCTGCTTCTTCTACTAGACCCCACTTTCACTACTATACATTAAATTAGGGACTAACACAGCATTATGTATTGCCATATGTGCCTTCTTTGACACATTCTGACTCTTCATAATAGCGTGTAGAGCCCCATTCACTCTATTTCCTGCGTTCCCTCGTCGTTCTATACCCTTATCATATCTGCCATCCCTGCTAAATAAACATCCCAAATATACAAACTCATCCACGTGCTCAATCAACTCCCCTTCTATTCTTATTTCACATAACGTTTTACTTTCTTCTCTTAAAAACCATCACTTTCGTCTTACTTGCGTTCACTTTCATACCCCTTTTATTTTAATGACCAGTTCATTAAATTAACCATCATTTGCAACTCGGCCGCCTACGATACAAATATGACTTGATCATCGGCGTACAATAGGCATTTGACGCTTAACTCACCCATTCTTAACCCACATTCTTCAAATTTCAAAGTTTGCAAACAACTGTCCATAAATAGGTTAAAGAGCCACGGGGAAGCTACACAGCCATGTCTGACACCTTTTTGAATGCCAAACCAGTCCGTGTAGACCCAAGCACTAGAATCCCTATAAAGAGACCTTAATGCCTGTATCAAACCAGCGTTTAGCGTTTAATTTGCATTTTACATATTGTTTAAAACATAAAAGTAACAAGAATTTAAAAGTTATAGAAGAATGTGAAAAACATCATTTGTTTATATTTATATTGTCAAGCAAACATGACAAATCATTTAGTAGCTAATTAATAATAGTTTCGTTGAAACAAGTTTTTGATTTGATTTCCGATAGACAGCATGTCTCCGATATTTTAAAACGGTTCGGATTGAATCATCAATAACAAAAAATGATTAATATAGCGTCAATGACCGGTGGATGATTCACTTCAACATATTACACTATAACTCGTTTTCATCTCGGAGGAATGTTTTAACTAATAAAGGGCTGGTTTTTTCATTCATCATCGTTTATTATTAGTTTTATGAAAATTTGTGTTGTAATTGTTATTATAATGCCACAGATAATTCCAACTATAAATACGAAGTTTCATAGTTTTAATCAGAATTTTAAGAAAACTTTGCAAAATAGATCAATAGTTCATTGGACATAATATCAAGTTAAAATTTATATTGAAAATACGCTTATTTAAAAGTAAACATACGAATTTTCCGATTTGGAATTTCCATGCCTCATTCTTACGTCCTAATTTGAAATAACGTATTTCATTGAAAAATGCATTTGCTTAACTGTGAGTACGTTCACTTCTTCTGGGCGAAGTACATAGTTTCCGAGATGAATGTTACGTTTGCACATTAAGGGTCCACAATCAGTTGGTATGTGCAGAGAACTGAGAGATAGTGCCTCACTGTTGAACATATGTGAGAGTTCACAGTAACTTAACACTGAGCAATTCAAATGTTTGAAGCGTGAAACTACAGATCTTGCAATTAAGCTACTAAATGTATTATGACAACATTTTTACTTTTTAAAATTTGTTGTGAATCACCGTAACGTCCAGTAGACGGTTGCAAATAAAAATATTATAGAAATTTTAACAATCATTCTTATTCAATATAACCAGAATATAACATTAACAATGCTTTATATTATTTTAAAATGACTAGGAGAATTGTTCGTTACAATTAATGCTGTGAGATGATATGCGCTGGTGCCGAAGCTGGGTGATGCCCAGGGGCAGAGTGACTGACAATTGCGTTGAAACCGTTATGATCATCAGCGGTGTATTCCACTCTACGCACGGAACCATCAGCTTCGTGAAGCGAGTACTCTCCGTGGACAGCATCACCGTCGCGGCTCTCGTGTTGGGACTTGTTGTCACCAGTGTGTCCATCGGCCACAGAGTAGGCGAAGTCATATTTGGGATGTGACTGAAGTTAAAGAAAAAAATATCATTAATTACGAATTTTTGTCATTTTCGTTTTCGATAGATGATCGCATAAAATTTAAAAATGTAAGCGAGATGTCCACCCTGTAAATGTTTAATATAAAAGCACTATTACACGTTTTGCACAAAAAAGCACTTCTTAAAGCATTCAAAATTTTTATCTCTATTAATTAAAAAACAAACATAATAATTTATTATTAGTTATTGGTACATACGTATTCTTCTACGTGGTGATTAGCTGCGATCAAACCATAGTTAGGAGAGGAATGGTGAGATGATGCAGTAGCGACATAAGTTACTGGAGCGACACCAATGGCAGGATGATGTTGAATAGTTTGAGAAGAAACGGCATGTCCGATCGATTTGGGAACAGAAGAGGATTGATATGCTATAGGAGAAGAATACGGGGTAAAAGAAGCAGTATAGGTAGTTGGAGCAGATACAATGGAGTGGCCTTGATTATGACGGACAATACTCTGGGAGGAAACAGCATGACCAGAAGAGGAATGAGCAGCGGATCCATAGACAGGTGTAGCATAATTAATATGACTGGTAGCGTAGGTAGGTGCAGCGGCGTAAGTAGTTGCACTGTAAGATACTGGTGCAGCTGCTAGTGTGACATGAGGTTGATCATGGCGTAAAATATTTTGGGAAGATACAGCGTGGCCAGCAGAAATAAGAGCAGGAGTTGTACTATAAGAGACAGGTGCAACGTAATTGTTGTGTGAAGTTGCATAGTATGCGGGTGATGTAGCGTAAGTAATAGGTGCGGCAGCTACAGTAATGTGAGGTTGGTCATGACGCTGAATAGTTTGAGAGGACACGGCGTGGCCAGTAGAAATGCGAGCCGGAGAAGTTTGGTACGAAATTGGGGAGGCATAGTTAATATGAGAAGCGGCATAGTGTGCAGGCGCAGAATTGTAGGAAATAGGTGCCGCTGCAACGCTCACATGGGGTTGATCATGACGTATAATAGATTGAGAAGATACAGCGTGACCTGTAGAAACAAGTGCAGGAGCGTGATAAGCTACAGGAGTTGAGTGATAAGCGGTTTGTATGGCTACTGGTGCAGTATGCACAGCTTGATGTTGATCATGGCGCACGATGCTTTGCGAGGAGACGGCTGGAGCAGACGAGTAGTGTGGTTCAGCCAGGAGTCCAGCAGACGCTAGCGCCATCAAGGCGCTTAAAGAGAGTACCTGTGGGAAAATAATTTAATTGTATCAACAAGAAAATAATATTTTATTTTTGCAAATAAACTACGTGCTATTTTATAGTAACTTACTTTCGTTAACATATTCACTTCTGTAAGTATCTTAAATGAGTGATACAATTGTACTATGAAAATTGGCTTTTATAGTAATATAATTTACAGGACAAGGTCAACGAGATTAAAACTTTACAGTAAAATTCATTAATTTTAAGTTACACAATACTATAAAATATGAAAGTTAAAGATATATCCTCAGAAGTACGCTTCTGTGTCTTAAAGCGTTTATATTCTTACGAGTATAGTGTACATGACATATTTATGTTTCGATTGCTTGACTATACAAACGAAGTAGTAAATCTATATGAATATTTATTTATCTTCTATATATAGAATAGATTTCCACCTGTGTACCGACTCATCACGATATCTCTGGAACCATAAGACCTAGAAACTTGAAAATTAGTAGGAATATTCCTTTCGTTGAACAGAGGTCAGTTAAGAACGGATTTTGTGAAATTCTACACGGGGTTGCGGGGTTAATTTAAAAAATCACATTTTCAAACTATATCTCTTATAGGTAATTAATATAATTATAATTAGCCATAACATTCTTTTTTTTTAAAATTACCAAGAACGGATTTTATGAAATTCCACCCACAAAGGGCAGTGCGTTAAAAAAAATTAAACTTTTAATCTATAGCTCCATTAGTCTCGCTAAAACTCGAAAACGGCTGGATGGATTTTGGTATGATTTTGGTAGGTGGCGCTATTTTAGAGATCCATAAATCACCCGTTCGAAGCCCGGGGTGGATTGCTAGTTAATAATATGTATTTAATATAAATAAAATTAAAAATATAATATTTTACTTTTTAGTATAACCAGCTACTGATTCGTTGCCTGCTAGGGTCGTAAATTATTAAATTAGGACGACACTGTACATTAGATTACCGTACAATACTCACATCAATAATGTCGTTAAAAGTCCTTACAAATGCTAGGTTTTCTCAAGCACAACTTAACAAAATTCAGATCAACTAAAACTAAATCTATTCTTTACAATATTCTAGTCAGAAGTCACCTAGAATTTGGAAGTTTTTACTTGGAACCCAGTTTATAGCGCTCCCTCTCGAAGAACTGACAGTATCCAGGATGCGATCACCAGGAATCTGGCATTCTTGTCACCTGATATTTTCCACAGGTGCCCTTACATTTAAAGACTCCAATATTTCAAAATGATTAGCTTAAGAGATCGCCGCTTAAATCCGATCAAATGTTTCTTTACTAATTATTTAACAATAATATAAAATGTATATCCTTAAGCAAATTAATATAAAAGTTCCCTATAAATACTCCAGAACCCCAGCAAACTACATATTCAATATTCGGCGTAGCAAGACCAGTATCTTACTTCATTGTTCGCTTCCTAGAATATGTTCAAAATACATATCTTGTTATATTAAAGTTAAAGTTGCAACCTATATATACATCTCACAGCTGGGCACAGGTCTCTTCTCATTTCTGAGAGGATTTTAGGGCAAGGAAAAGTAAGCCGATCTGCCCCAATGCGTGTTAGCGAACTTCACATGGATTCGATTTTTTTTCTCAGACATGCTGATTTCCTCATGATGTTTTCCTTCGACGCCAAGCACGTGGTAAATCAGCATTTAAAATTAGAATTTACGAATTTTATTGGTGCCACCGGGGATATAACCCTTGTGTTGATGTTGAGTTTCTCGCTTACTGTGTTTACAGGGAGTATTTGGCTCCTGAACTACTACAGCTCTCTTGTAGAATGTATTTAAATAAACAAATAAAAAAAACCCTTATTAAATCAGTCAGAGAGATGGTATTTTTCTAAAAGTTCGAAAACAGCGCCATCTAACAAAATCCATCCAGCCGTTTTCTAGTTTTAGCGAGACTAAAGGACTAAGTTAAAAGACTAAATTAAAAGTTACTTTTTTTAACACACTGCCCTTTGTGAGTGGAATTTCATAAAATCTGTACTTGGTAATTTTTAAAGTGCCAAAAAGAATATTCTGGCTAATTTTTATACATATAAGAGCAATATTTTGAAAATATGATGTTTTTTAAGTAACGCCCCGCAGCCCCGGGTGGAATTTTACTAAATCCGTTCTTAGCTGACCTCTATTCGGCGAAAGGAATGTTCCTACCAAATTTCTATGCTACCAAATTTTTATATTTTGGAAATCTCTTGTATATATATAAGAGATTTCTACCCGTTTACTAATTCATCACAATATCTCTTAAACCATAAGGACTAGAGACTTGAAATTTGTCCCAATGCGTATTGGCAAACTTCACATGGCTTCGAATATTTTTTCTTATTTCTTAGACATGCAGATTTCCTCACGATGTTTTCATTCACCGCCGAGCACATGGTTAATCAGCACTTAAAATTTGAATTAACTATTTCATTGGTGGCGTCGGGAACAGAACCCGAGTTGCTCGCGTACTGTGTTTACAGCGAGCGCTTAGCTCCTGAACTACCACGGCGCTCTTGTTGAATGTATTTAAATAAATAAACTAAAAAATCCGTAATTTAATCAGTCTGATTCCAACTATCCCAGTAGTATTTTTTTCACGTGGTAGAGCCATACTGCTGCTATATTAGTAGTATAGTTGTAGCACGAATGTGTCGACTCGACCGGGGAAGGACCACGCTCTCACAGAAAACCAGCGTAAAATAGCAGCTTAACGGTGCTCTGTTTCGTATGGTGAGTGTAGAGAACCGGAGACCCCTTTTACTGGCAAAGAGGCATTCCATCTTAGTCCTCACGGGTGACAACGCATCTGCATCTTGAGTCTTTATTGAGGATAGATGTAGATGTCTATGGGTAACAGTAGCCACTTACCATCAGGTGGACTGTGTGCTGGTTTGTCACCCTATCCTATAAAAAAAATGTATTCTCAAAAATTGTTTAAAAATGACAAAGGTATCTCGTACATACATACAAATACATGAAGGTGAATTGAGATTATTCCCTTTTTATAAGTCGGCTTTTTTTTTGCAACCTGTATATAATCTGTGTCTAACGCTGTCATAAAATAGGACGAACAGATATATTTACCATACCTTTCAAGCATAACCATACTCATAGTAATAACGTCTAATCTAATCTAAAATATGTCAACGAGATTAAAACTTTACAGTAAAATTCATTAATTTTAAGTTACACAATACTATAAAATATGAAAGTTAAAGATATATCCTCAGAAGTACGCTTCTGTGTCTTAAAGCGTTTATATTCTTACGAGTATAGTGTACATGACATATTTATGTTTCGATTGCTTGACTATACAAACGAAGTAGTAAATCTATATGAATATATATCTATCTTCTATATATAGAATGGATTTCCACCTGTGTACTGACTCATCACGATATCTCTGGAACCATAAGACCTAGAAACTTGAAAATTAGTAGGAATATTCCTTTCGCTGAATAGAGGTCAGTTAAGAACGGATTTTGTGAAATTCTACACGGGGTTGCGGGGTTAATTTAAAAAATCACTTAAACACAAAAACTATATCTCTTATAGGTAATTAATATAATTATAACTAGCCATAACATTCTTTTTTTTTAAAATTACCAAGAACGGATTTTATGAAATTCCACCCACAAAGGGCAGTGCGTTAAAAAAAAAAAACTTTTAATCTATAGCTCCATTAGTCTCGCTAAAACTCGAAAACGGCTGGATGGATTTTGGCATGATTTTGGTAGGTGGCGCTGTTTTAGAGACCAATAAATCACCCGTTCGAAGACCGGGGTGGATTGCTAGTTAATAATATGTATTTAATATAAATAAAATTAAAAATATAATATTTTACTTTTTAGTATAACCAGCTACTGATTCGTTGCCTGCTAGGGTTGTAAATTATTAAATTAGGACGACACTGTACATTAGATTACCGTACAATACTCACATCAATAATGTCGTTAAAAGTCCTTACAAATGCTAGGTTTTCTCAAACACAACTTAACAAAATTCAGATCAACTAAAACGAAATCTATTCTTTACAATATTCTAGTGAGAAGTCACCTAGAATTTGGAAGTTTTTGTTTGGAACCCAGTTTATAGCGCTCCCTCTCGAAGAACTGACAGTATCCAGGATGCGATCACCAGGAATCTGGCATTCTTTTCACCTGATATTTTCCACAGGTGCCCTTACATTTAAAGACTCCAATATTTCAAAATGATTAGCTTAAGAGATCGCCGCTTAAATCCGATTAAATGTTTCTTTACTAATTATTTAACAATAATATAAAATGTATATCCTTAAGCAAATTAATATAAAAGTTCCCTATAAATACTCCAGAACCCCAGTAAACTACATATTCAATATTCGGCGTAGCAAGACCAGTATCTCACTTCATTGTTCGCTTCCTAGAATATGTTCAAAATACATATCTTGTTATATTAAAGTTAAAGTTGCAACCTATATATACATCTCACAGCTGGGCACAGCTCTCTTCTCATTTCTGAGAGGATTTTAGGGCAAGGAAAAGTAAGCCGGTCTGCCCCAATGCGTGTTAGCGAACTTCACATGGATTCGATTTTTTTTCTTATTTCTCAGACATGCATATTTCCTCACGATGTTTTCATTCACCGCCAAGCACATGGTTAATCAGCACTTAAAATTTGAATTAACTATTTCATTGGTGGCGTCGGGAACAGAACCCGAGTTGCTCGCGTACTGTGTTTACAGCGAGCGCTTAGCTCCTGAACTACCATGGCGCTCTTGTTGAATGTATTTAAATAAATAAACTAAAAAATCCCTAATTTAATCAATCTGATTCCAATTATCCCAGTAGTATTTTTTTCACGTGGTAGAGCCATGCTGCTGCTATATTAGTAGTATAGTTGTAGCACGAATGGGTCGGCTCGACCGGGGAAGGACCACGCTCTCACAGAAAACCAGCGTAAAATAGCAGCTTAACGGTGCTGTGTTTCGTATGGTGAGTGTAGAGAACCGGAGACCCCTTTTACTGGCAAAGAGGCATTCTATCTTAGTCCTCACGGGTGACAACGCATCTGCATCTTGAGTCTTTATTGAGGATAGA